GTCCAAAATTCAAGTTATTTTAAATGCTAATTCACTAAGATATTTAAATATAATAATAATATTTCAACAAGAAGATTTTTTCTGCGAAAATTTTCTTATATTTCTTCTCGGAAAGAGGCCTGATACCAATATTAGGCTAACATTACTGATTAAATTTTTAAAAACCATTTAGCGATTTATCACATTTTCTCTAACAATCTATAAATCTTAAAAATTAATCTACATTGAACTGATGTTGTAGTGTGTGAGATGAAAAAAATAAGAAACTTCAATTTGGAAACATATCAAATGAGTTATATCAATTTTTAATTATTTGGTGAAATCAATAAAAATTATTCAAACATTACTCCAGTTATGTTTTATTTTTAACTTCTATTTTTTATCGTATTTGAAATTCGTCTTTGATATTGCGATATGTTATTTCAGATATTTAATATGTTTCGGTAATAATATTTTTCAAAAAAATTATTTTTTTAATGAGAAAATTTAATTTAATATCACTAAAGTAATAATATTTATTGCTATTGCGATATGCCATTTCAGATTTGTTCCCCTATTTTTGCTTTTAACATCATCTGTATTTCGCTTTAGCGATGTCAAATATTAGGAAGTAAGCAAAAACTATGCAAATTTTATTGTTTAAACAAAATTGAGTTTTCGTCCTAAATTTTTCCTTTCAAATTAACTCAAATTTTCTACATCATAAAATAATATTGTTCCTTTAACTTGATTAATAGAAAGATTTTATATTTAAATATGAACAAAATTGAAATTTTGATTCTACAATATTAAATAATTCATTACAGCAAATAGATCTAAATGAAATAATTAATGGAAGATAAGGTAACTTATTTGTTCAACAAACAGTTCGTCCATCTATGCATTTTATTATTTCTCATTGAAAATTTTAAATGCATCATTTATGGAGCAATGTAATAGTTTTAAATGAATTTATAAAAATAGAAATGAAAGCAAAATTTAAAAAGGAAAACTCAATTTTGCTTAACCAATAAAATTGCCTAGTTTTGTTTACTTTAAACTTTGATAATATGCGAAACTTATTATTGTTGAGCTTAATAAGCTTTGCATATTGTTGAAGTTTAAATTTAGCAAATAAAATGAATACTTGGTTATCAAAAAAAAGCACAAATCATATTATTACATTAGGAATTTTTTGGAATTGCACATGTATTTGATTTGCACATTGTTGTGATCGATTAACATATTATCACTTAAATATATTATTTAGTTAGCAATTGTATCATTTTTAAACTAATAAAATAAATTTAATGACCAATATGAAATATGAAAGATTGGTCAGATATATGCGGAAATGTCCGATTAAGTTATCCATTTAATCCATATTATTGTTTTTCGCATCCTTATTATTTTTCCATTATCATCTATGATATTAACATTTTATTCGCCTTTTTTTCTTCTTGAAATGATTCAAAATAAAAAATTAAATCTGTTAAAATGTCAAAATTTATTAATAATAGTTCCTTTCAAATTTAAGCCATTTTACTTATAATGCAAGTTTTAAAAAATTTTCATCAATAAAACCAAAACAAAATTTCAAGAAAAAAAAAATCAATCCTTGATGAGTCTTTTGAAAATGTGAAAAGTGATGTAAAAGTTGGAAATAGATCAATCAACACATTGTAAAACAGGTGTTCATCACCCCATTCTATTTGTTGGCAGCTGCTTGTACCAATTTTCATTTTCTTCTAAATTTCACAATTTTTAAAATATTTTCACAGCATTAGGATACTATGCATCTTCTTGGTTTCATTATTTTTGCTTCTTTAATAATAATATCAATTGCTGAAATTTTGGTATGTTATGGATTTAAATTATTACAATATTTTTGATTAATTGAAAAAAATGAAAATATTAGAAAAAGCTTTAATATTTAATGTGTAAACTTTAATATTTAACATGTCATTAATAAATTAGCATATTATCTGCTAACGTTTAATTATATTTCGATATATAGTTATAGAATCAAATACCATGAATTACTATATTAAATTGTTAATTGCTATCATTTACTTGAGCAGTAATGTAATTTAAAATGATATGCTTCATAACCCATTTAGCATTTTAATATGTCGTAGTATGCATTATCGAATTTATTTCATCTTTTGTTTAAACAAAATAGTAAATTAAATAATACAAAGCCTAACTTATACCAGTTTACTTAATTTAAAATTTTGCTTTATAGTTGTATTCTTTATAATTATTTTTATTACTAATACAAATTTAGGCTTAGCATTTCTCAAATTTTGACTCAAATAATTTAAATAATACATGAAATTCTTTCAATTCGCTTTTTCTATTTTTTTATTTTAAAGAAATGTAGCGATATAACAACACGAAGAGCAATTGAAAAACGTGGACGACAAATTAATTTAAAATGTCTTGAAAATAAGCAACAGTTAGAGAAGTGTAACAACCATACCGCTGTGGATATTGCTTGGAATGATTTTGAGCAAATTAATGAAGATTATTTTATGGTTAGCTAAAAAAAATTTATTAAAATTGAATTAATTTTTGAAAAAAATTTTTTTTTCATTGTAAATATATAAAATTAAAATAATCGAAAACATCAAATGTTCATAATTTTTCATTAGTTTTCTCATTTTATTTTCTACAGAAATCGAATTCGTGCATGGAAGAAAAACGTAAAAAGCGTCATTGTGGATGTGGCACTCATTTATTAAATCAATATCATGTTGATAATTATGACCATCAATATTTCAAGCGAAAATTAAATGGAAATCGAATGAGACGTAATGTACATGGTACAAGTGATGATAAAAATGATCAGGTAAATTTTGAAGAATTTTTAATTTAATTCGAAAAATTAATCCGTAAGTTAAAAAAAAAGACTAAATTTACGTTAAGTATCCTTTCAAATTTGAGAATATTATATTCGGTGGTTTTTCTGAAAATGACATTTCTGAAATTGTTTTCTTTTTTAGCAAATCGAGAATGATTACTCCAAGAATTTCCAGCGATTCAAAAAGAATGAATGTTTGAAAAATAGTGAAAGAGAAAGAACTCGTCTGTTTGAAAAATTCTCAAAACCATGTAAACCTGATACCACGTTAGTTTCACATTATTACAATGTCAAATTTTCATTTCAACGATATCTCCAGAAATTCGACAATTATCTTATATAGTAAATGTTTGTATAAATTATTTCAAAAAATAGTAAAGAAATAATTTTTTTTTGCATATGCGTAAATATTAATTGAATTTATATATATATATCCAATCTTTATTTTCCTACTCTTGATAATGATTATCGAAAAATTCGGCATAGACATTATCGAAATTTTTATTTTAAATTTAATAATTCAATTTAATTCATCAATTGAAAACTGTTAACGACGAGAAAGTTAAAAAACTTCAAAACGCTCCCATTGTCATTATTTTTAGAATTATCAGCACCATCTTATATTCTGTCCTGTGCCGAATTTTCACAGTTTGAATTTTCAAATTCTTATAATCCTGACTTAGGAATGATTAACTAATTCGTGCGACAAATATTATGATATTTTTAAGCATTAATTGAAGTTTTACATATTTTTCATAAAGATTAACTGAAAAAGATCAATTCCAGTAGTTTTAAAAATTTATAAAAAGTCAATTTTTAACAAAATTTCCGGAATAAAAAATTATTTATTTTTCATCAGCTAATTTTTTAAATACTTTTTTTATACCATCCGATCCAATTTATTAAGATGAATGATAATTAGGAATTAACAATTTAACTTTTAATCCGTTTCATTAAGGTGAATTTTCATTTTTATTACTTCATACTAATGAATGAACTTATCTTTTTTCCAGATATGATCGTGATAAGATGAGTATGACCTGCAAAGAAAATCTGAGCAAATTATCGAAAGCAAGACACAAAGCTTATAGCAATTATGTGATATCTTTTCGAAATTGTTACGGTCCTATCAATTAAATTTATTATGCATCACACGGTAGAAATGTCACCATTTCCTAGCTAATAGAGTATATTTCCGTTATTTCTCTATATCCGTAATATGAAAACTAATATGAAGTACTTATTGAGTATTATGTCAACGATTAAAATGTCTAACTTCCGATATACTGCTGAGAGAATATCACAGTGTAAAACTTTGGCCGATACAATGTGGACATATATGAGAAAATTTTCAACGATGTACATAAACTAAATGCATTGTGTTTGTGATATGATAGAAAATGTCTTTTTTTATTAACTCAATTTATTTCTACACAAAAAAAGCAGCTAAGGCATACTGATAAATGGAGTGAAGAAAAAATTTCCACACAGAAAAATCATAATATAGCTCTAGAAAAATGCAATAAGCATACCATTTAAAGCATATAAAATATAATTTAATTGCTTTCTTCCGAAAAAAAAAAAGAAAATTACAATTTTATAGATGAACCTTTGCAATTAAACTGCAAAGGAAGAGTTAATTCAATTAGTAATAGAAAAAAAATGTGACAAATAAGGAATAATTTAATACACGTTGTCTTAAATTTATGAAATAAGCGTTGTAGTTTTCAAATTAATTATATGGCTGTCTCATAAAATTAATCAATTTGTGGAAATTACAATAATGATTGTCTTTTCTATTAGCAGATTTCAAGAGTATTATGATCATAAATCATTTGAAAAGTGATTGAAGTAAGTAATATCTTAACGACATGACTAGTTAGAATTGCATAGTGAAGGTAAGTGGTATTGATAAAAACCTGATAAAATTCAGTTAACAATATAACTGCGCTTAAAAGTCGGTGTCCTAATTTTCGACCTCGTATTATATTGAAGTAGTAAAATACAGCAATGCGGATAAAACTGCATGAGAAACTTTAATAAAAATAAAAACTAAAAATTAAAAAAAAATGAAAGTATATGTATATTATGCATAGGTGTACCCACCCTTCACTGCTTTCTCGAACTGTTGTTATCTTGAGAAAAAAGTAAAAAAGAATCAGAAAGCAGGCTTTTCGCCTACTTTTTCTAAAACAATAGCAACACGACAGGGAATATAAATGCAGAGATGATTACGTCGTCCTGCATAACCTTCCGAGAAGGTAAAGTAATGCTGATTTTTATCCAGTCGATTAAATCCACCAAATTCGGTGTCATCAGTACTCAGTGCCAATGCATACCTCAAAATATTTCATATTATTTAGTGTCACTATACATTATTTTACATTAATTTCAATTTTTTGAATGAAAAAACTAGTAAAATTAATTTGCCATCTAGCAAGATGATCAACCATTCTTATCAGCAAATCCTTATTTCCAATCCTCTAATTTTACAGCAATAAATTCAATAATTCAAAACATTTCTCTGATAAGCCTTCCTCTCTTCCATCTTTTCCTTCAAACTTCTTTTATAAACATGATTAACATACAAAAAAAGTTGACGAAATGTAAAATTATACAACATTGAAAACTTACTCTCCTGCCACTTCGATACCAATTTTATAGTCCGAGAAACTCTTGCACGTATGAAAATTGAAAATAAACAGAAGACCAGCACGTTCGAATGCTATCATTTTATCATCTTGATGTTTCCACGATGTATACGCCTGGAAAATTGTATTTCATACTATCACTAAAAGTATTACTCACATATATAATCAATTCAATTAAATGCAAGTAAATTTAATATTACATTTGATATATCATTCACTCTTTATACAGTTTTACTGCAGTTCTAATAAAGTTGGTGTTAGTGGTTGTTTGATTAATTACTATTTTATTTAGGAGGTTTGTGATTATAATTTTTCAATTTTTGATATTTGAAATTTGCAATTTTTTTTTTTTGTTATGCTAAAGTTAGGTTCAGTTCCTTTTCATTTTTAACTTTTAATTATTCATACCGGCCCACGTGATAAGAAATGATGCTTCTCTTCCAACTCGTTCATTGCTCGATCAAAATTATTCAAATATTTATATCGAAGAAGCTCATCATCTACTAGATTCCATTGTCTTCGGCAATAATGAAATGATTCATTGTTACCTATACGCGGAAAATCAAGCCATTCTGGATGGCCAAATTCGTTGCCTGAAACGAAAAAAATAGATGAAAATATGAGCGGAGAATTTAAATTCCGGTAATAATTACTTCTCGCCAAGACAGTATAATATAATTTTGCCGAACTTAAGTCACTAAGACGCATAGACAATTTTCAATTAGTATATATTTTTTGGAAATTACGAAACACTATAAAATTTCATTTAATTTTTCTGCTAAGGAGAATTAAAAATAGAGGAAGTTCTTTATAGAAGATGAATTAAAGAAGATTGTTCATAATAGTTTTAATCTCGTGAATCGTTAAGAAATAATTCAACGAATGATTAGACAATAATAATGAATTTAAAAATATGATACACTGCGCCCCGAACTTGAATAGTATCTATTAGAGGAGAATTACAGGAAATTTTATCATAACTGATATTCGCCCACTATTCTACCAGCCTTCGGTAAACTCGAAATTTTGTAATGTAAAATTATTCATACAAGCAGAAATTTGGCATAACTGATGGTTAGGTTAACAAGCTGCTCTCCATAATCCTTCATCAATGTTAAATTTTGATTTCTTTTCTGTTAAATTTAACTTCTTTCTTTCGTACTGCTCAAAAGTCATTCAAAGTTATTGCCAACCAGTATTTCCCGCTATTGCATGTTCTCTGTCTTTCTTTTTATCTATGACAACAAATATAATTAACGAGTAAACAAACAGTCTCCTCCTTTCCCATCACTTTTTTCTCTCTCTCTCTCTCTCTCTTCTTCATCACATCACATTACCTAACTATGGGATTAACTCTCGTATGTCCACATGATGATCTTCTATGACTTACGTATCATACGTATCTCTACGTATGATTTCTATTGATTGATTACATATGTGAACGACTGTCCTTGTATACTGTCCACTGTTGGGTATATAATAATTACGTTGGACACTGTACAGTTATCGAGTGAACTCCTTGCTCAGGAAAAAACGACTCGACTAAGTCTCGATTAATCAAATCGTTAGGAATTGGGATTGTTAATTGTCAATATTTCCAAGCTTTCTTCGATTAAATTTTTCAATCAAATTGTTGCGAAATAAGCTCATGTCGTGAAAATTTTTCTTTAATCGACA